TTTGTTTTCTAAAACATTATAGTGGTTTTTCTAGGCGCGAAGAACCCATGGACTATTCATACAGCGTTTCCTATTTGGTTTCCACCTGAACTTACGTCACCGGCGATATAAACTTCAGGTCATACAAAACCACAATGAAAGCACGACAAGTTGGTCTTATGTTCTGGAGCCACTGCTGAGCGGTAGCTTGCTTTGCCATGTTTGAGTGCCCTGCCGCGGCGGTATGGTGGCAAGGTACTCGGCTGCTGACCCGCAGGTCGCGGGATTGAATCCCGGCTGCGGCAGCAGCATTTTCGATGGAGACGAAAATGGTGAGGCCCGTGTGCTCAGGTTTGGGTGCACGTTCAAAAACCCCAGGTGGTCAAAATTTTCGCAGCCCTCCACTACGGCGTCTCTCCTAATCATGTGGGGGTTTTGGACGTTAAATCACACGTATAAATCAATCATCTATGTTTGAGCGCAAGGTGCGAAAGCATTGCATAAGCGGCCCGCAACGCAGAAAGATTACAGAGCACGGTCGCAAGACAAGAAAAAAAAAGCCTCTAAAAAAAGTCAAGAATACGTATGTTACGAAATATCATACGTAATTACGTGGCAGCTGCCCTGAATGAAAATTTCACCTCAGTTCGTATCTCAGTGGGCAGCCGTCAATCACCACTGCCGAAAGTGAGGGGGCTCAGCTCCCTTATTTATCTTAGTGAGGAAAGAAATAGCGCCTCCCTTGTCGCCTTCCCCCCCTCCCCCGCGAGATACGCCTCTGCTTTTGAAATGGTTTATTCTGCGGTAAAATTGGTAACAATCATGTCCAGCAATGACATTTTAGATTCTGTAATACGCGTAGACATAGCAATGACATCTTTAATTGAGTTGCACTCAAGCACGGATAAAAAGCAATTTCTTCTGAGTTCTTCGAGGCATCTATCTAAAATAAAAATCCTTTTCTATAGTGAAAGTTCCTCAAGGTACCTATATTTACATTGCCACCTACCGCAAACATATAATTAATTACACAACTTTACCTTGAATCATAGCACCTGTATGCGACAAAAGATGATCAAGAAAAGTTGGGAACCAGCCGTATAACCACCAAACGACCATGCTGGAAAGCACATACATTTGCGCCCTTCTTTATGGATAGATGTTCGTAGTTTTTGGCACACGACTATATTATTTCATAATATCACATTACTTAGAATGGCAAGGACACCCCCTCTACACTCTCCAAGAGACTGAAGAAGTGATCGCGTCCTCGTAGTATTATACGATCTACCTAAGTATAGTACGTTTCTGTGCGCATTGAAATGTCAAAGCTTGTGCCACGGGATTCCAACAGCGAAGTGGCATCGTCTTCTTTCATTTGAGGCAATCAACCGTTTGAATGCATCACTTCGATTAGACTATTGCCGTCCTTTTTAGGCTTTAAATGTGATGAATAACCTCAGGGGTGATATATCTAGCCGATATCATAGTATAAAAGAGCAATTACACAACACATCAACTGGTTCATTTGACAAGTCCTGACAATTTTGCTGAACATCACCTTCTCTCCAGATTGCCTGATAGGGGACATCTCCGTGCGATGGACTAACAAAAATGTTTCCATTTCTTGTCCAAATGAAGTTCCCACAGTGTTCACGCTTTCGTGAAATTGCCATCCCCAGTGGCCTCATCATTTCTGGAAACAAGTGCCCTGTGACTGTATTGGGGCGTAGCTTTGAAAACCGATATTAGCGTTCGTTACGTTCGAGCGGCATTGAGTACCCTGTCATGCTTTTGATAGCTTTGGAACTGAACAACGATGTTTGGTTTATCTTTTATCTTTACTCGACACTTGGTGACACACACGACGTCACAGGCTAATATCCGTTCTCCGATAGCTTGTCGAGCTTCCGTTAGAGGCTGTGCAAGGTTCTCATCAGCTGATTTTACTATTCTCTTCACTTAGGTGTTCTGATTGTGCGAGTATTGCTCTGATTTTAGCATGCTCATTTGACAGGTGGAAAGACCCTCTTCGAGAGTGAAGATTCTTAGTTTGAGAGCGTCATGTTCTTTCTTTCTTCTCGTGCAGAACAAGTTGGTAGTTAACATCATCAAGACCGTTGATAACGTGGCTTCAGCTAGATTTTATTTCTTCATATTCCACACACATTTTGCGATAGTCTCTGCACATGCCTTGTTCGAGATCATCTTTCGTGATTTTCCACTCGGCTCTCGTTTCTTCTTTAAGATCTTGCAATAGCTTGGCAACCTCTCTGACACAATAAGTACAGCAGACTCACGGCAAGCGCAACACAAATAAATCATGTGAAGGGACCTTTAGGAAGAAATTAAGAATGGAAAAAGGCCGCATTCACATCGAAATTTACTTTCTTTTGATCCGCACTTACCTTTCCCCTGACGGGTCTCCTTCGTTCGGCATTCGTTCTACACCTTCCCGCGGCTGCGCAGAGAGACCTCCTGTTCGCTTCCCACCAGTGCACCTAGTTGTTTAGGGCGCTTCTTCAGTTGCTTCGTGGCACAGGACAATAATCTGTAAAAGTCGCTGGCCCTGTCATCGGCCATGAACGCCAATCTCTTTTCCTTTTCCCATCTTTATTTCCCTCTTGCCATTTTCATGCTGACACTGGGACATGCTCCCATGTAGGGCGACAGAAATGGCGTGCTTTCCCTTCCCCAACTTCTCCTTCTTCTCCAACCACTCACGCTAAGTCAGTGCTGTGGCGTATGACAATCGCCGTGTCTCATTTCATTGCTGCTATATAGCCGTTGTTTTTCGGAAACTACGTGAACTAGGGGACTTGGTTGAACGTCACAGAATTTGGGAAGGTTGGTGGTGCCTTGTGACATAAATAATAGTCTCAAAGCATACACTAAATTGAAATTTGAGATTAAATAGTGGTTCTATAAGCGCCGATTTTCAAAACAGGCATTTATAGGCACATACATTCATTATACCACGAACGCCAAAAAAAAAAAAAACACTATAAAAGCCCTTCTTAACCTCTATGTCGTGGTCATATATCAAAGTGGCACGAGAGGAACGCGAGGAACAAAATAAGCGTTTGCCTAAAATTCGATCTCTATCAATCATGATCAGTAAAGTATTAAAGGACTGCAATCAAGTTCCTACATGCAAGTCAAGTGGACGACTACGAGGGCATCCAAACGAAGATAGATAGATAGATAGATAGATAGATAGATAGATAGATAGATAGATAGATAGATAGATAGATAGATAGATAAATCGATAAAAATAAATGGCCATGTGTTTTTGGTTCACTAAGAAATGCTTTGACTTTGAAGTATTTAAAAGGCAAGCTAATCATTGGTCACTGTGTCATGTAGATGAAGATGCCAGCAAACATTACTATCAACAAATTGATGACAAATTTTCTTGGCGCAAAGGCCATGTTGGACCAATAAGGGTCAGACACATATTACTATCATCGAGTGATTATGCACTGATTGAAGGATTGACAACGAAGAAGACAGACAAACAGAGTCTGTGATAGCTTCCATTGATTTGTTTTCAAGGACATGTATTTACTTGTAATATCGGAAGAAGTCACCCCATATACCATTGGCGCTACCCGATGAATACATAGGTGTAAAGGAACCTTTTTTGGCTCGTATCGCAAATGGGGCCTTGTACATCTTGACACGCCACTTGACGCACGCTGTAGCACGTGTGACCTGGATTAGGAAAACACTTTACAAGGTGATAAGTGAAACTGGCCATAGTAGTGAAGAGAGCATCTCTGCTACGAAATCTTGCCATGATTTATCGTGGTTTCCTGATAACTTGTGGCTCAATGTTTCAGCTTCTTGACGCTGTTAGCATTCGGTCATTCAACTTTCCAAAATAGGAGTGACGTTCTCAAGACACAAGTGCCAAGGGGGCTCTCAGCAGCGCTCGGTTCGCGTGCGACCGCTTTACGGCTATCTGACCGGTCTTCCATGATAACAGAAAAACCACGGACGAAGAAGCGCTATCCACTGCATCATACAGAAAAATCAGCGACTGCATGTTGCCGTTTCGCATCCCCAATGAACCTGGTACCAACTTTGCACTCACCATTACCGCTGCTGATTAGCGGGTGGCGGTGGCGACGAGCAGTGACCTGAGAGATCAGAACTCGCTCGTCTGGACGTCTGCGGATGCTGCTACAGATTACAAGGATTCAAAGGAGTGGGTTGGAAGAAGCCATCTTCCAGCTTTCAAGCCTTATTTTACCCTATCAAAAACTCAGTAAAAGTTGCTTCTATCTTTTTCTCTTGCGGAGTCGAAATATCAATCAATCAATCAATCAATCAATCAATCAATCAATCAATCAATCAATCAATCAATCAATCAATCAATCAATCAATCAATCAATCAATCAATCAATCAATCAATCAATATATCAATCCATCAAATATGAAGTGCCCACTCGAATGAGCGCCTCGTCTCCCCTGCTTATTGCCACCTCCAGAATAGTAGAAACTCCACAGTTTTCGCAAGTTAGAAATGCATAGGATTGGGAGAGGGAGCAGCAGTTTATGATGAAAGGTTGCTAGCGCGAAGACCAGAAACGATGAAGGCTGAGCTATGTTGTGCTGGCCACGGGCTCTTTACAGAGCTTTTCGTAAGAACTTGAGTGTCGTCTTGTGTGTCCTAGCTGCTAAAATCCCGCTCCCCCCCGCCCCCTCCCTCCCAAAAATATGACAGAATGAAATTTAGTTTGCCTGATCAGTGAAACCACTTTGCTGTTTCTCTTGACTCTCTCCCTTTCTTGCTGGCATTTTAGATTTCATACTCTGTGCTTGTATTCCATCGTTGTGAGCAAATAACACCAACAGTGACTGTAATAGTATGGAAGACTTTGAACAGGTTGACTTACAAAAGATGGTGTGTTTGTATTGTAAAAAAAGTAAATATTTGAAGTAGTGAAATCATCGTTTTCGTCGCAGGCGCCACTTCAGAACGAAGAAGGCGACGACTTTGAGCAAGAAATCCATGCCCAACAGTATGGCAAACTTGACCGAGAGGTAGGCGTGTTCAGCGTCCAGCTTCGCGAGTATTTCGCGTGGGTCGCTCAGGAAGCAGAAGCTGTCTTCGTCACAATCGAGCTCTTCGCGCCCGTGCCCGTAGATGGCGTACAATATTCCCTGGTGGGCGTGGTAGACATGCGACGTGTACGTGATCCAGGCGAAGGCCGGATGCAGGTGGCGAACCTGTACGAAGTAGCCGCAGAAGAGGAACGAAGGCGCCGCTGCCGGCAGGGCCACGAACAAGGCAGTCTGCAAGATGACGATGCGGACAAGTGTGGTTAGGTTTAGAAGCATAACACCCAGCCAATTGTTAACAAAAATCAGCCGGATTATCTAGACTAGTGCTGAATCGATAACCGCTTATATGCGTGCCTATTTGCCGATGAAGGGCAGTAGGTGAGCACGGGGTTCCTCATTAAGGGTGGTTAGATTTTTATTACAGCGTCCCCTATCCCTTCGCTTGTGTCAAAAAGGCAACACTCTTAACGTTAAAAACATAAACATGAAGTGATTACGTGCTTTCACAATCGTCTGCCTCAAGTCCCAGGCCTTCCGGGAATGAAGTAAACAGTTCAAAACTCGCAATGACAGGGGCCTGCAGCTGCCGTTATTGTCGAAACACGGCGTGGCCATAATACTGTTTTTTTAAACTGACTGATTAATGAGGTTTTTTCTGCTGTCCCCTTCTGTGGGTGACTGTCGGGGGGTGGGGGTGGAATAGGTCGTGCCTTCTGCGCCCGCCAGTGAAAAAGGAGACGGTGTGTGTGACAAAACGCAGTAACCTCCGTGTTAAGAAAGATTCCTTGACTTGACTTGCCACCATCTCAAAACAGCGCGTTTGAAAGGCATTTGTGCTGCCTTGGCCGCTCTGAAGACGGCACCTTCGCAACATGTTTGTGCTGCATTGAAGCATTGAAGGTGGTGGCAAGCCGAGCTCCAGTCAAGGAGCGTTTCTGCATATGGGGGTTAGACTGCACCGGGGACTGGGCTTCCACTTTTGTGTTTAGAAAATGTGGGTAATGAATTAGAGTACTTAATACACTACTGTGGAAGAGCGTAAAGCAGTCGTGTGGGCTTAACACTTCATGAGGCCCTCTTGACAAAAATTAAACCGTGAACGAGTTCACGACGAGTGGATCCACATTTGAGCGAGCAACGTAGTTTTCCCACCATCAGGTGGAAACGCCTTCAATGGAGTTCGCCTTAAAAAAAGCCCACTGCTTGTGCTGCACAACTTGTCAACCTGGTGAAATTCATTGTTTCACACCTATCATGTGATCACAACACTAGATGTTTAAGGCATAGTCGTCGACCACTGCCTGTGCTGCGTGCCAATGCAATTAGTAACGCCATTCATATTTGGAACGCAGTGGCATGTAGTTCATTCGTGTTGTTATATATTTACCACCGTTTATTATCAACTCAGTATGTACTATACAAAATAGAGTACTAACAGGAAGTACTTTGAATTATGTGTTGTAAATGGTATACCACTCTTTTATTTTTCATGCAGTGAATTCAGTTGACCTGTATTGACCCCATGGAAAAACAATGCAATGATGAGACTAAGCTCAACAATATTTTTCTCCAGTAAAGCAAAAATTACTTCAATTGAAGCTTCTGTGGACGAAGTCGCTGTTATTCTCAATCGTGCACGCTTTTTCCCTATTTTTTTTATGAACCACCGAGGTTGCTACAGACGTTTTAACTTGGGCCAAATTGGCGTTTTTGCTAAGTTCAACGTTTTATTTTAGAGCCTCTGCACCACACACCGAACAAACAAAAATATTTGTAAATATTACGTTTTAAAGACAATTTGCTAGATATAATTTGTGCATTCCATTAAAGGTAGTGTTTTGTGGAAATATTTTAAAAAACACTACAATTTACTCAGTTTTGGCTGTACGCTCCAAAGAGTGAAAACATTCAAGCCATAACGATTACCTGTTTCAATATAAAAGCACGCTGCTTTACAACGCAGAAAAGCAAGAATTCAAAGAATGTGCTGAATGGTCAATTTATAGGAAATATTATCTTAGTACCTGGTTATCCGCCATTTTCGTGATTTTTAAATCACGGTCACGGCACAAACAAATTTCGCCGCTCAAAATATCTTAGAAAACTACTTTTGAACTAATATCTATATGTATGTAATTTTCTTATACTATTTGTTGAAATTGATTTTTGTCGAGTGCCCTGGTTTGAACGGCGTGTAATAACCCAAAAAAAGAAAAAAAAAGAAAGAAAAAGTAAAAAAGAAGTTAAAGCAAAAAGATAGAAGGAAGATATATAAAAAGAAAGAAAGAGAGGAAGAAAGAAAGAAAAAAAAAGGCCACCGCTTGGTGCACTGCACTCAGTAGAGTCGTTATGCTCTGTAAGCATTTGATACCACGCCTTTTTAGAGCAATCATATTTAACCCCGAACCTTGCTATCGGGTCTGTGAGTCTCGAGCCGACATTGAGGTTTAGGTTAGGTGACAGCTGACGGCGAGTGAACACTAGCGTTGAGCGCGCGATAAGGGCAGGCTAGATGCTAACTTGACTGCTGTTTCTACCCAAATTACAGCCCGGCAAAGATCGCTGCGCTGCACAAACGATGGAAATTTCGGTGTACAGCTCAGAAGTACTTCAGCTCAATTATCTACTATCAACAGCAAAAACTTGTGGGATGCGAAATGTTCGACGGAGCCGAATTCCAGCTTTGTCTCGGAATGTAATTTCAAAATAAATGTTCCATACTGCACTTGGAATTCGGACCTATACAGTCCCCAGCTTGATTACATGCATTAAGCACTCATATAGTATAAACTCGCATTCTTTGTGGACCCAACGTCCGGCAATCTTGTGCTGTTGATAGTACTTGTCCAGCATACACACATGAACATCGAAAAATAATTTTCTCTGCTGAATGATTTCGAAATAGGTAACTAACTGATAACTTGTGTTGGGTCCTTCACCTGACGCCAACATTGCAACTGTGGTCATAATAACGACCATAATATTCGAACCAGCCACTGGAATAGATGTCCAGCTATAGCATTACGTGAACTTGACGGGAATGTAAGCTTACCTCCCTAATTTAAGATCATCCTTTGTTGTTCTTTTTAGGGGTGAAGCTCCTTATGGTGTGGCTTGTGCGTCCCTCGTAGTACGTAACCACCAGTGGCACATACCCGAAATAGCGGTCTTTACAATGCCTGCGGGATGGGGGCATTTGTATATGATGAATACACGATGAAAAGATGTGAGATGGCTGTGCTTGGAGGTTTCACTAGACATATGGACGGACGAACAGACTGACACACGCACGGACGGACAGACAGGGGGATGGCGTTCGTCCATCTATTCAACACTCCAAGTTCCACCATCTCGCATCTTTTTATAATATATTCCCCATATAGAAGCACCACCATTCAGTGGACATTCCAAGGACTAAACGAGAGGTGGCACACGCACACTTTCTTACGGCTTGCGCTTCGGGTCTACTTCCCACCTTCAACCACCTTGAGTTCATGGTATATACTAGTTCACTATATTCATGGCACTGCGGCCCAATGCTCGCTAAACCTTTCTAAAACAGAGGAGGTTACGCCCAGCGAGTATAACGTAGCAACCTTTTCCTGTCAGATAGTGCTCAATGTACATGCCAGTGGCTGCTAATGTGAAATGAGAGACAGGAGGATTCAGCTTTTAATTTCTTACGGCTTGCGCTTCGTATCTGCTTCCCCCCTTTAACCACCTCGAATTCATTCATGGTATATACTAGTTCATTGTATTCATGGCACTGCGGCCCAATGCTCGCTAAACATTTCTAAAACCAAGGAGGTTACGCCCAGCGAGTATAACGTAGAAACCTTTTCCTGTCAGATAGTGCTCAATGTACATGCCAGTGGCTGCTAATGTGAAATGAGAGACAGGAGGATTCAGCTTTTAATTTCTTACGGCTTGCGCTTCGTATCTGCTTCCCCCCTTTAACCACCTCGAATTCATTCATGGTATATACTAGTTCATTGTATTCATAGCCCTGCGGCTCAACGCTCGCTAAACCTTTCTAAAACTAAGGAGGTTACACCCAGCGAGTATAACGTAGCAACCCTTTCTTGTCCGATAGGGCTCAATGTACATGCCAATGGCTGCTAATGGGGATCGCAGCGTGCGCGTTGACTAAAAGCCGAATTCTCCTGTCTCTCATTCCCCATTAGCAGCCATTGGCATGTACGTTGAGCACTATTTTTTATTGTTAAACAACGCACAGAAGAAATCTCTCACCGGCACCACCTTGGAGGTCAAATGTTATACCTATTTCGGGTATGTGCCACTGGTGGTTACGTACTACGAGGAACGCCCAAGCCACGCCATAAGCTTCGCCCCTAAAATCGACACAGACGACGTGCGTCGTGTGTATTCATTTCCTTGTGTGCCGTATTTTTGCGCCTCTCAGTTTATAATGATGGGCGCGAAATGCTTCCTCTTCCGCTTCCTCTATTCTCCAGTGTATATTAGCAACCGGATCTCTTTATAGTTAACCTTCCTGCCTTCTTCCTTTGTGTACATCTTTGTTTCTTTCCTTCCAGTTTTTAATGAACCAAAACCAACTCTCCCAACTTTTTGTCATACATGATATGCTATGGTGGTGATCGTATTCAGAAGAAGTGCGAGCATAGCCGGCCGGCTTTTCCCGATATATCTCCATCGTTTGTTGACTGCACAGTGCTTTCCAGGCACGAACGCTGACGGAAGTCTAATACTAAAATCGCACGAGTAGAAAATTATGGCTAACGATCGTCATCATTTCTGAGAAGTCAAGGAAATATCCATCATTCAGTGGAACGCCAGTGGACTAAAACCGCGTCTTTTAAGACTTTCCTCAGTTAGTGCGCATCAACATGTTTCAAGACATCAGCATTTGTGAGCCCAACGCGTGTGCGTGCTCTCCTCTCTTCTTTTTTCCATCTTTCAACCTCCGTCATGCTTATCCCCAGTGTAGGGTAGCATATATACCGGTCGTTCCAGACTGGTTAACATCCCTGCCTTTCATTTCCCTCCTGTTCTGCCCCCTCCTTTCCCTCCATTTGTAGCGCTATATTGCTGTCGTTTATACCGTCTCACGTTTATCCATCTTTATCTAAGAAGATATGCTTATAGTGATTTGTTAGTACGTCATTAAATTTCTTTTAGACGAAGCATGCTGGTGAGTGTCCTTGTGCCACACAATTTAGGGTAATGAATGCGTGCAGAAGCTACTGGGAGACTTAGTGAAGCGAGTGATGTCGCAGTGCTCAGAGAAGTGACAATGTGCAGGTCTGCGCGCCGGGCACATGCTCAGGTGTAAACAGCAAGCGTTTGTTGCTCGCACTGGCTAGTTTTGTTATGCTGATGCCGCTGCAAGCGCTTCAGAGGGAACACCTGTCCGAACTGTCGCTAGTCTTGGCTCATCACACAGCCGCGAGCTCTCACAACAGACAGTTACGTGACAGAGCCTTTCCCTGACGCAAACGGCAACAGCCTCAAGGGCGCCTCACGATTCATCGCGCTGTTTACACGCACGCGTATTTTGCCGCACTTTCACGCAGTTACTCAGCTTGTCTCTGTGGGAGGCGGTAAACAGTCAGAGGCACGCCGGTGGTCTCATGCTTTTATTTTGTTTACGTTCCTCGTTATTCTATTCGTATATATTCCGGCACATGATCTGCGACTATTTTAATGCGGAAACAATATCTTTGCACGAACACTAAGAAAACACGTAAGTGCAGGTCTTTGTATGAGTCCTTGTGCGTGCCCATCTATCAGTGTGTGACCATGCGTGAACAAAGACGTACCAGCACAGGTCCCAGAAAAGATTTCATTTGCTATAAGAGGATTACAGAATATATACAGCTTCCACACTAAGTAATTGTACGGTAAGTTAAGAGCGGCTGCAGCATTGATTCGCACTTTCTAAACTGGTTGACTTAGAGACTGAACTAGCAGGAAACTTCTGACCTACTAACGAAGCAGGACAGTACAGGGAAGTAGTAGGGAACTACACCATGTAGTTGACGCACATAAACATCACAGCTCCGCCAAGTTTTCATAATACACTGTTAGCTGTTATCGCGATAGGTTAACTAGCTGGTAAAATACAGTCTACAGCAAAGAAAACAGAAAAAAAACGCAACAACATTATTTTTTCGACAAAACAAATAACAGAATTCCCTGAGAAAAAATGCTCGAACCAAACACCATCATTGAAACGGTCGGATACAGATATGCGATTCTTGAGTAATCTTATAACATTGATGAATCACCTGGCCGATGGTGTCAAGAGGCGCAGATATTGGTTTTTATTCTGATAAATCGCACAAGAGCCACCTGTGATTGATCGCCCGCGTACATGTTCAGTGTCCTTGAGGCAGGCACGCAGGCAGCGAGCACGAGATGTATCTCGAGCTATTGACTTACTTCCAGGAGAAGATATATTTCACTCCGGGCGCGAGACAGCTTCTGTCGTTTACGACTGAAACGACGCTGTGCGCCTGTAGGCGCAGCTGTGTCTACGCATTCTGTTGCTACGGGATCGAGCTCACCTGCATGCTACTGGCGGCTGAGACGACCAGCGCGATGGCCTGGCTTGTGGCACATGTCTGCACCGCCAACAGGACAACGGCAGCCACGCGATGGAAGTCGTATGGCTGTGAGGTGGACCAGTGTATGAGGCACATCATTAGAAGGGGTCCGCCAATCTGCGTGGAACAGACGAGAAACGCAAAATTAAAAAAAGGAAAACAAAAGATCCTCACGTAAAACCAAGTCGTGTTTTCCTGTCTATATACATGTAGGAGCAACAATGTAATGGCTGTATTGTGATTGAAAGACTCGACGATGTTTTTCGCTTGCAACCTTCAGTGCTTTCTTAACTTTGTTACATCATGTTTTATATTACGGCTTCTGCGCCGCCGCGGTGGTCTAGTGGATAAGCTACTCCACTGCTGTCCCGCAGGTCGCGGGATCGAATCCTGGCTGCGGCGGCTGCATTTTCGATGGAGGCGAAAATGCTGTAGGCCCGTGGGCTCAGACTTAGGTGCACGTTAAAGAACTCCAGGTGGTCGAAATTTTCGGAGCCCCCTCCACTACAGAGTCTCTCATATTCATGTGGTGGTTTTGGGATGTTAAACCTCACATGTAAATCAATATATTACGCCTTCTCACTGTTTCAAACATTCGTAGTAAGCCGATATAAACCTTCCGTAACCCAACAAACATTGCGCAGCGTTTATTGGGTGCCTGCTTGTGCCCTGATTTGATCGTTGCACTTATTTATTTATTTATTTATTTAATTATTTATTTATTTATTTATTTATTTATTAAATACTGCAGACCCAGCAGGTGGGCAGTTACAAGGTGACATAGTTGAACAATAAGTGGCATAAAGATTGTTTGGGGTGAGTGTTTCATACACTCATAGTGAACACAAGGAGCGACATAGCAAATCATGCCATAATAACGCATGTACCGGACAAAAGAGAAAAAAAAAACCACAAATTCATACTTAATTTGTTGTGTGATTAAAGTAAAAATAAATACACAATAAATACATAATAAATACATAGTAAATACATAACAATAAACACAATTATTTTCACTGTTCGCCAAGAAAGTAATGAATCAATAAGTATACAATAAGCACAGCACATACAAGATGAAAAAGAAAACGAAAAGAAAAGAAAACGCTGTAATAAAAGATCGAAAACTTCAATTTTCAGGACAATGCTATTTATAGCGAAGGAGAAATAAATTCTCTGAGGATGCCCGAGGTTTTCCGTTCCAATCTGAGACCGTGCGAGGAAAATATGAGAACTTATAAGCATTATCTACTTATCAGGGAGAAGTAAACGTGAGTGTTCCGTACTAATAAAAAAAACAACAAAAACTGGATGATTATCCTGCGATGGCGGCCTACCTTCCCGCCGCTGGCTTCCTTTCTCGGACGCTTGGAAATCTTATTGCCCCACCACTTTCGAAAAGATACTGCGCACGACACAGTGACGTAATATGGCAGGGCGCATCTTATTGAAGTAACTAAGCGTCATGTAATATTGTACAAACATTGAAAGCTGCACAAGCTTTATTGCCTTAAAGTTTGCTGCTTCAAATCTTTTACATTTCATTTATAATATTCGCTCTGGATGTATCTCGCTGAGGTACAAGTTGAGTTGCATGTAACTTTTTATTAAGCGTTGCACGTGTCGGTATTGTTTAAATTAGTTATACAGCTTTATGACAACACGGTGTTTAAATATATTGTTTTCTTACCGTGAAAGGTAGCTCAGTGATGATTCTAGCAATGTAGTACATGCTTGGACTGTACCAACAGTTTCGATGTTCCCTCAGTAACACGTTGAGTTCTGTAGGAACTAAACATAATGAAACAACGTGGGAACGGGATTTAAGATAAAGTTGTGTCAGATTAACAACAAGACGAACGCCATTACGCTACGCTGTGAAAGCTTTGAGAACACCAGGTGGGTATACTTACATATCAACACAGTTGGCATGATGGACTGGAAAAGTATGATTGCAAGCGCTACGATAAACATGGCAGCGTTGTTCATTACGCGGGTTGCTCTGTTGCCGATGCCGTAGTACATCATAGTTAGAAGCACAGGAAAAGAACAAGTACGCAATCAGGCGTAGCTGTGAAGCGACCTAATGTAGAAAGAGAAAGAAAAACGAGAACGTGTTATTACTTGACTTCTCAATGAAGAAAAAAAAAGTTTAAAATAAGGGCTTGTTTACGTTGCTAGACACATTATTGTGGACTAACCATGTGCGATGTTGTCTGCTGGTTCTTAATAACATTGTGACTTAGCAATGTGTTATCTGATCAACAAAAATAAAGTATTCTTGGATAAAAACCACAAAAAGCTTTTTTGACTGGCATTGCCTGCTTGTTCAACATACGTGGCTTTTGAAAACCACACGTAGACTTTTGATTCTGTACGTTATATACGTGTACAGCCGCCAATTTTTAAAACCTGAACACACGAGCATAGACTTCCGAGTGTTTCTAAGTGCCCTTTTCTGGAACCAGGCACCAAGACGTTTGGAACAAGCGTCTACACAGACTCGGCAGTCAATGTTCTGGGCACTCTAATGCCCGGTTCCCGGAACAGTCTAACCACTGACAGCTGCAGAGGACTGCTCATCGCAGGCATGCCCGTATTCTCGATCATTTTGCCGCCAAGCTCCGTCAAACACCGCTTATCGAATGGGCGATCGACGCTCGCGCATTAGAGTTAAAAAAAAAAATGAGTGGCTGTACATTCTTGCGAAAGTGCTCGGCAGTTTCCATGAGGTACGTTCTATAAATTGTATGACTACCTGTGCACCGAGGTCATTTGGCCTTTTTTTTTAGTTTTCGATGACTACTCACAGATGATGGTAGATACGATTAGTTGCAGGTACGTATTGACATACTTAGGCATGCATAGTTCACTAATTGTGTGTAGTGTGTGATCATTTCTATACACTTCACTTCACACATTACCGTTTCACTCGAAACGGTGACCCGATGTAGCTATTGAAATTGTCAAGGCGTTTTGTCGTATTGTTTTCTATATTTCGTCGTTAAACACTTAATGTGTGTCCCCGTTAGCTAAGATCTCTCTCTACACTCACGCGCATATTCCCATAGCATGGTAATCTACCGCACTGTCACAGCCAATATGTATATACTATGAGCGCTGAGTAAACATCTCCACGTGTCTTTCGTTTGCTATTTTTATATAACTGTATCATTACACGCATAACCTCTGCCTTGTGCAAGTCGCGTCCGAACGCCTGCTGACCTTCCAGATTATTTAGGAGTCTTCTGATAGGTTTGAGTGCGCGAACGCAAACAGTTGAGTTTGTTCACGAACTATCGGCCGCCACCAGTGATAAGGCTGGAATGCTTGATAGCGCATGCGTAAATGCCAACGCGCCCATAGCCACAGACCAGTTTACTCGACGGCCGATGGTGTTCTCGCCGCTATGAGCGTACAGCTTGAATGCTTCCACCTGACCTTCAATTTTCCCGGGACAATATCGCCCAACCAAAATGTTCCGTGCATCCGAGCCCCGTTGGCGCCTTCGTCACCGACACGGCCACGTGACGAAGTCATTTATTTAAAGGCGAAGAAAGCATGCGATGTTAAACTTACCTTATTCCTGATCTGGCAAAGGAAGCAGCGCTTCAAGAGTACGCCAAACTGCAGAATAGCGCTGGCGTTTATTTTGTACAAGCTGCGTTCGTGTTGCTTTTCCTGCAACAACAGCAATGGATGTGAGTTAAAAAAAAACAGCGTCTCTGTTTGAAAGAAATAATTACGCCATGCAATGTGCGCCGCAATTCCCCGATTACTTTTCCGGTGGACGGTTTCCAGAAACAGTTGCAGTAACTATAATACACTGAAGTTACTCGTATCCCAACTCTAGAAATACATTTGGTTAATTTACTGCTGATGTTGACGTCCTTTATATCGAAGCCGACATAATGTGAATTACCCACAGGGGAAACGTACTAAAATAGAAAAACATGAAAGACGACTCCGCTAAAAATCCCATCGTATCCATGGAGTGAATGATGATAAGTGGGGCGAAGCGTCCATCCATCTGTCCATGTTTCTGTCCGTCTGTCTGTGGATATGCTGTGCTGGCTACGTTAAAAGGATGGACTGCCCCAGGAAATAAGGAGTTTCGCCCCTAAAAGAGGAAAACCTGGTGATCTAACGCTTCTATTTAATTAGCCTTTCGCATATTCACAATGCCAGGGCAGTTGTGAATGAGCATCACAGTAATTAATTTGCGTTGTAATATAATAATGAATATATATCTGTTTCTACTCAGTCATTATCTACTTCTCATGCAGTCACGTAACTGTGCCACGTAGGTAACTCCTTCATTGCCTCTAAATATGTAAGCGTTTACTTCCACAATTCAATCTAAATATAAATAAGGCAAGCCATTTAGTGTGTGGGGGTCACAGCGGGAGTTTATCTACAGAGAAACACGCAATAGAAAATTGGCGGCATATCTGCGCGCTTCGCTAGCAAATGTAGTCGAAGCACGATAGTTTTCTTTCTGGAGATAGAGAGAATAAAACGTTTTTTTTGAAGTTCTGCGAAGAAAGATCAGCGAGTAGTTGCCACGTGAGATATGGACTCTATCTGGCAGTAATTTTAAGCAACAGAGTTTTTCTAGAATGCTAAGCCACTAATAGATGACAGCACCATGTAGCTTTAGTGAAGCGTAGGAAACAATTGTTTTTCCATCCAAAGCGTCGCGTTGTCAGTGGAGCGTGATAAGCACTGCTGTCTTCAGAATTGAGTAACCTTGCATTTAAAAAATAAAGTAACAAATTACAAAATACTCGCGTGTTGACATTGCGACCAGTTATGCGTAATATTTCCTTTTTGTTTGAAAATGTTCACTATTATAAGTGCAACTATAGAAGGTCAAAATGGGTGGCCGCTCAGCAAGGGGTCGAACTTTCGCTCTGTGGTGTTAATCTAGTGACAGACTTAGAAAAACAGACACACACAGAGCCAGCCAGACAAACAGACCAAAATTTCGCCGTCGATGTATCCCAAGAAAGACTATTGTCATTGAAAAATTTTGGAGGTGACCCTAGTCCCTAACTTTGGTGTCCGATAGCAACACTCGCACGTTGGCGTTCGTGCACGACCTGGTGTTAGCTTTGTGTTTCGCGCACTGCTGAAGGTGATCTCAGAGGCTACTTAGAGAGAAATACGTGGTGGAGATTTCATCCACCAGGTGCCACTTTAATTGCAGCTGCTCTCAGTTCCTCAAATTATACGAGTAATTTTTATTACTCTCACAGTTAAACGGCTCTTACCTTGATTCTAGTTATGCTCCGGCGTCATATCTATAACCCTATACCAGAACCACAAATTTAGAAGGCTTTGCATGAGTATCCAAAAAGGCAGGAAATAAATGCTTGATGAGATTAGCTTTCGAGGAAACAGGAGGATGTCACTCAGCACTCGTGACACTAAAAATACATGAAAGACATCTGTTCTATCGAAAGGGCAGAAGACAAAAAAAAATCGCGACGTTTACTTCAAATCACTCTCATCCTTCTGAAAACAGTAAAACACAACATGATTCATTGTTTTCTTAGGCCTCTACGTTAGCAAAGAATTTTTTGCTGGTACTTGAGAACTTTGCAAAACTACGAAAAAATGTAATAGTTTACCATGTTGTGACTGAGTTCACATTTTGATACGAGAAGTAATTATTTTTATTGAGTCAGCTTACCTCTTCCGTCATCACTCTTCCTCCATATTGCGTCAGTTCTGGGTGGTGAAAACTGCTTACGCCATTGTGAATAAGGAAACCAGGCTTAAAGGACCTTGCCAATTGTTTTGTTAAATCTCCGTGCTCTCCAGACGCTATCTCTGTAACTTAATAAGGAAAAGAAAACGTGACTTGTAGGTTTCACTCGCTTGACGAAATAAGCCTAACAAACAATGTTTTCATGGAGTCATAACTAGGTTACGTACAAAAAAGCGCATTACATTAACTCATTTTAAAGATTAATTAGGGGAGCAAGCAGGACAAGCTGAGTTCAGCATAGAATACATTGTTACATTGTTAGCATCACGGCTGAACGACACCTGATGTGGTCTATTTTACATTGTACTGTGGACACATAACTGTGCAATGATATTCCAGTTTATGTAGAACTCAGCGATCAGACGCAAGAAATCACATTTTGTTTGCTTTTTGATTGCACTAAATGGGAATCCTTCGTTCTAGTCTCTTTGATGTATAAGTTTGTCAATATACATTAAAGTCAGAAGTGCTACTGGGAACATTCACAATCCATGAATACATTTTCTATATGACTGTATCAGTATCTAACTCAAGGAAGGCAAATTGTTTCGCTACTAAAGCACCGACAAGTAGACATGCTGAAACAGACTAAGTGCGTCGTATAATGTATTTATTCTGTCCGTTGCTCTCTAGCGAAATTTTGTCCATTTTAATGGAAAAGCGACAGCGCGGAATTGCAACCGAACCAAAAATTGTGGTGTAATCGGCGTTTCTCTTTATTTGTCCTGTCTACGTGCACATTGTCCATGAGAAAAAAAATGGAACATTGAGCGTATCCGAGCTCGTATTTATTTGACCCACAGTGTGCGAGAAGCAAGTGCGAACGAGGCTACACGAGGCAATAGAAGTGAAGCTTTTGTGCTGTCAGAAGTTTGACTCACTGAAATCGGACGGATTATGATGTATCGGACAGTTGAGATTCTGAGCGGCCAGAAACGGAAGCAATTTGTCGACGGGACCATTGTAAATGCACATTCCTTCCGAGATCATGTACAGCTGAAAGGTGAACGTGCGTAGTTACTAAATCTGACCTTTTTCCACGAATACACGTCATGACGCGCTTATGAACACGTGCAATTTTTAATTATATTACAAGTATTACATGCCGTAATGACGCTAAGTATGCACCAGCAAATAACAGAAGCCACGGACATAATTAGTATTCGGTGAAATCAGTTTTTCTTGAAATGTTTCATTTGCTTTCGGGTAATGCAAGTGATGCTGTACGCCACAAGAATATGACAAATTGCGGGCAGTTGATTAGCCACAAATAAATGACTTTCCTCGCACCCAGAGGGCAACGCAGTGAACGAGCTGCTTTTGTATTATTTGAATACTTTATTTCTGCTTTTGTATTATTAATTCATTATTTCGCATACTTGGATGACTATAGATGTGTTTCTTTCAGACAAGACTGCAAGTTCATAAAACTTCTAAACATTCAGTTAACCCCCAAAAGTTGTCAACTACCTGTCATAACGTCGTATTACATAACAGTACTTTCACAGTGTGATTACCTCATTACTTCCCGAAGCAGAGCTGGTATTCTTTTTTGCGACCAATTCAATTTATATGCACAAACTTGCCTTATCAAAATGTGAGAACAGTGTTGCACTCGGATTGTGAATGGAACACAGCACTGTGTGTCCGCATGCTGCTAGGGACCGCAGCACCAGGACGCACTTCAGTGCTGAGCTGCTGTCCAGTCCACTGCATGTAAACCAAGACAAATTAATCGCAGTATAGGCTAAGCTTTGTTAAGCACTTCAAGATTTAAGACTAGAGTAAAAAACACCAACCATAGATATCTCAAATCAGTGTATGTTTTAAGCCATGAAACTATACGACAGTAAGCTTTGAAATAGTTTTTTTTTGACAAGTAAAGTATAGGCCTTTCTGTGCCTTAAAAAGGCATGGTGAAACTGTAGCTTGAATGTAATTTGCGTGATAACAGCCTGCATATACTCTTTTGGGTAGTAACTCTACAATATAGACATAAAGCAATATAGAAAGAAGAGAGGACGCCGTCTCATACTATTCCATCCTGGATGTTTAGGCTGCGTAGCTTTGAGAGCTTTCAAGTAAATTCGTTTTATTTTCCCACATAGAATATGCAAGACCAACAAAAATCTAAAACAAAAGCGGTGAACTCGTTCTAGAAAAAAATGGTATAGTCCCTTAAACATTGCGGAAAGAGGAAAACAGCTTTTGATCTAATGGTTCCGAAAAACCGCCGAGAGAGTCTTTCAGAATCAACGTGTTTAGTAGGTTTAATGACTAGACCACGTAGGCCTAACTAAAACCACAGCAGGACTTCTTATCAAATAACGCTGGCCTGACTATTTAAAGGCAGTTAGCAGTTTGCAGATTGTTTGAAGTGTGATGCTATGGTTAACATTTTTTGGACAAAGTGTGCAGGAGTGGACTACTGGCTTGAAACACGAAAAGAATGGGATGAATTTTGCAGACTGGAGTGAATTTTGCGTATACTACAGGAAGAATTCTTCCTAAAGATCCGCACAAATTGTACTTGCATCGTCATGCTACAAACATGTGGATGACAACTTTCCTCTTTGATCAAACGCCGTGGGCCTTACACACTTCCGAATAAATAATTTGACAAGTGTACACTGCCTAACTTTATCATACACAAGTTGGCTTCAACGGGTGTCACTTTCAGCATGTTCCAGTAAGCAGCAGCATTCTGAAATAAACGATAAACGTAGCTTCGTAGAATGTGCGGAACATTTGTATTCTATTTCGTGGTCCTGCGGGAAAGGATACGTAGACCAAACGGGAAGGTGTGTAAATGTAATGTTGAAGGAGCATGAGTCTACCATGCAAAAAGCCAATAGTGGCCACCTTGGAATCCATTGAAGGGATTGTGGCTGTGCACCGAAGTTTTGAGAAACAAATATCCCGATAGAAAGAAAAAAGAACAAACGAAATAAGTGAAGCAAGTGAAATAGTATGCCCAAAAAATAAATGTCTTGGTATGGCGTCTACAATCCCCACCAGACAAAAATTGACGTTTTGCCTTTGAGGTGAACCAGGCCTGCTTGTGAAACAGAATAGTTATGTGGTGATGTTGAACGTCAGAAGTACAACAACACATTGTTGGTGTAGTCCAGCGTGTTTTGACTGCCATGGTATAATGTTTCCATATTCCAAACTAAACATCAATCGTAAATCAGCGCCTGTTGTCATCCTTCTCCCTTAGGGTTTGTCAAAATTTCAGCACTGTTTTTTTTCTTTTTTTGCTGAGTGTGCTTTTGAACATAGGCGTGCGCGGGGTTCCCCATCATAGGGGGGGGGGGGGGAATGTTCATCGCAGCACCCTTCCTCCCTACTAGGTTGATGTATGGAACACACTTTGCACCCATCCGTCTCTTAGGTTACTAGAGAGTTGGTGCGTGCACCAATTCTGAGGCCAACTGCGGCGTGTGACATACAGGTGTGGTTGGAACCCTTTCAGCTTGGACCCTGAAATCAATAAACACACACATCCATCAATAAATAATCAAAGCAAAACAGGACACTGCTCCCCGGGGACAGCCAAGTGCCTATATCCCCTCGATACGAAACCCACACTGTGGCTTTCTTGCTCGGGGGAAAAAATAATGTTTTGAGATGCAGAAACAATGCGCACATGGTGTTTTCTTGATAACGCCGCCCTTATAACATCTAGTGCAATGGGTGGCATCCAGTCGTACATGACCAAGAGATATCGAAAAAGCTGCAGGATTTTATTGGGCCTCCATGAAACTGCCCACGTGTAAAGTTTCTTATTGCCTTGCTGAGTGACAACGACCACCACAGTGTGAAAATTGCATGGTGAATTCTATTGAGGGAACAGGGGTGAAGGCTTCGAGCAGTGTGGAGGAGGGAAATACTCGGAATACGGCCGCTCGATCTGCCACTATAGTATGCGGCACGCATCCGCAGGGAAGGTGAGAGGGTGACGAAGGAGGAGAAATACATCGAGCAATCGGAACATTCCAAGCTGTGGCATTCTCAATAGGACAGCACCGCAATTCGCGTGAAACCTGTCGTTCACATGCGCGCCATTATCCTAATTTACAATTACGTACCACGCTTGTGCTACGATGCATAACTATCCAGTAAACATACTTGTGTACCCTTGATCATCACTGCTGGTATAAACGGTGACAATATGCAGTGAACATCAGTAAGGTTCAATTATACAAGGTTACTACTATTTCAGCCGCGTTCAACAGTTTAAGCCAAAATGAAAAACAAACCAAACGAATGTGATGTTTTAAAGTCGTGTGACTATTTTCTTATTGCGCCTAATGCGCTTTCAAGCGAGAGCCCTTCGAACTGCTCTTAGTAGCTCTCAGCACAGCAAAGGTACTCTTGCTCTACCACTGGATGACAGACAGTGCTCCTACTCCAGTTGGACCACACACGCTTGCTCTGAAGAGAGAACTTTCAGCGTGCTTTTGAGTGCCCCTGTTCTTTCTATAAAATTCGCCATAAGACGCCTGTGAGACAGCTCGTGATTACCCGAGAAAGCGTTCGGGGAATGCGCGCCCAAACTGACGATTCTCATTCTCAGGCGTGCACTAGGTTCGCCATCAGAGGGGTTGGGGGTAATGGTTTACCGTAGTACCCCTTCGCCCTACTTAGAGTGTCAAGCAGACTGTCCGCCCCCTTCCCCTTCTCAGTTGAACTGGTGGTGCGGTAGCCGCTCCCCTGGCCTTCCCTGGCCTCCCATGACTCAACCCCACACAACCCTGGGCGCACGCCTATGTCTCCAGGCGTGTTTATTTGCGCGAGGTTAAAGGCAACTGCTCTCGCTCAGGCAGTCATTGGCAATAAATTTTGATTTGTGAGAAATATGAAAGCAGGCACTCAAGACCGGCAACATCGGTATGGCAAAAAAAAAAACTAAAAATTTTGCCGGCATTGCGAACGCATTACATTCTTAAAATCCTGAGCGATTGATTTTCGTTACTGATCTGTGTTGGAATCTGCGTTATCACCATAAAATAATACGTCAAGTAGCTGAACAGAAACCTCGCACATGCCGTGTAACTGCTTTTGCGCCAATCGACAAAATTTTCTCAGTCTTAAGGATCTTGAAATGTGTCATAAACTTTTGTATCATCTTAGCCGGTTTAATTGCAGGTAATTAATTTTTGAAGAACAAATTTAGTAAATATACAGTGTTGCTCGCAGTGAATAAGTATCTGTTCAAGGAGGCCACTGTTCTTGCGTGTTTTTTTTGTATGTTACCGGGAAGAACTTCTGCAGAGAAAATAGTAATGAAATTAGGTCGAACCATGGATTTTTGTCTCATGCATTTCACGTATAAAAATAAAAGTTGGTATTGTGTGTGAGTGAATCGCTAATATAAGAAACGTTCTTTTCCTAGAGTTGCAGGCTTACCTAGTGGGTTCGTCCAAGAAGATTACAGGAGGGTTGCTAATGAGCTCTTGTGATATGGCGAGTCTTTTTCTTTGACCTCCAGATAGATAGCTGGCCCTGGTATTCTGGCACTCTGTCAAACCCCATCGATGGATGGCGTCAGTCACCTTCGTTTTGCGAGACAAGTGGTAGGCACTATTAGTTACTAGATTAAGATATTGTCAAGGGTGTAGAGATGCCTCTCCAGTACAGCCGCTGAAATAGCACCTAATGAAAGAAGATGAAGACGTTGGTGTTGTGGGGCTTATTCTTGCATTTTGTGCGCCTTATGCACCATGATCCCGCTCTCGTACCGACTCACGACCCCTAAATAAACACTCCCCGTAACAATATCTTTTTCGCATTACCTATTAAAGTTTCCAGCGTGGATCACTTTTGAGGGTACGGCTTGTCTTCAATCTGTGCTGCTCATGTGGCATGGTCGCGCTCAGAGGAAACCACTCAATAAAGACAAAAACAAGGCTAGAGCTGTGATAAAAGCTGGGTTATAAGGCACAAACAAGGACTAAAATAATGTCAGATGACATGACTAGAAAGTTACCGCCATAATTAACTTCAAATTGACATAATTGCTATTGTAACCCGCGCTTGACTCACGTGCCGTGCTAGAGATGGCACCACCACCTCTTCAAGAGCACGATAGCTCTTTCCACCTGCACTTCAGCGACGCTTGATCGTACTGATTCGTACAAGGGGCAAACACCATTGCGTTACTCGCTGCAAACGACGCGTATCCAAAATATAACAAGCAGAAAGCCTGTAAAGCACGTCGAAGAGTACACTGCGTAAGTTACACACCAAGCTTGCGTATCGCCCAAAGGAGACTCTACTCTTGCTGGGGAAACCGAACGTGCTTACGTCAAGCATTAACGTTATCGTCGGTGTAGTAAGCGGAGCAGGGGAAATTCGAGAAACAGGAATCATTGCGTGACCGTGCTATGGACTCCCTCGGGGTTTGCAGGGGAGCAGCGTTTGCTTTTACATTACAGCATATGTAACAGCTCTCACATCCTCAATTAAATCAAAATATGTGAAGCAATATCTTTAAATTGTGGTAATGTGTAAGCTCCTCTAGCGCATTTTGAAACGAATTCTAAGCATTTTTTAAGGATGTTAGATCTGTACTATAGCAGCTAGTCTTCACCTACAAATAGCAGCTAGTCTTCACCTACAGATATCTTTTGCGCTTGTGTTAAAAGCAATTAGTGCTACGCACATAGCTAGCTGAAGTTCATGCTGTTATACTATGCGGTTAGAATCACAACGACTTCAGAGATGTTGCGTACCGAAACCACATTATGGTTATGAGTCACGCCGTAGCAGAGGGCTCCAGAAATTTCCACCACCCGGTGTTCAATAACGTACACTGACATTACACAGTACAAGGGCTTTGAGCAATTCGTCACCGTCGAAAAGGCTACCTCCAAATTTGGATGAAACCCGCGTCCTGCTGCTCAGCAGCCGAATACTGCAACCCCTCTACTACCGCTGTGCCCATGCGGTTACGACAACGTGTGATTTGTAAGGAAACACAGCAGAATGGCTACCAAGATGCCGAATGAGAAAGGATGTTAGAGAAAAAGTCAAAACTTACAATTTCTTCTCTGGCAGAAGCTTTCATTGATGGCGTTCGTAGCTGGACACTCATGTTCAGCGCTTCTCGTACGGTCAGTTCTGGTAGCAAGCAGTCATCTTGCATGACGTAGCAACTTTGCATATTGAAAAGCTTCGTGTCCCTGACGCAGCCGTTTACTTGTACTTCACCTTCGTACCCCCTTTCACTGAGTTTGAAAAGAAAATGAGCAGAAATTAAAGTCTTCTCTCAATATAACGCACATTTCAAAAATACCAAAGCGGTATTCGTAACATAATTGCCGCAAGATAGAGCCAAGAGAATTCAGTCTGGTTCATGTGCTTTCCTGTCTTTTTCTTATCACTTCTATATGACGCCTCCTTTATATCTTCAAAATTATTTTTAAAATGCATGAATTTATCATAAGTGTCTGGGCCGACAACGACAGCTAACTAATTTGAAGAAATAGTATTGAAGTTATCAAACTCATTTATAAAAAAAGAGCGCTATAACTCCCGTCCACTGCTGTGGTGGAGAAGGTAATTCTGTAATATTTGCTCGCTTGTTTTGTGGTGTCGCTATTATCACTGTTAGGCAAAACGTGGGTGTCACTCTGTCGCGGGCATCACTGTTCATTCTAAGACGTTGTATTGAGAAGGTGTGTGAAAACTGACTTGTGAGTGGTATGCCGTTCTGTCAGAGTCCTAAGCAAATGGGCTACTCGTCCGCAAATTTGTGCGGATTGGAACAGTAAAACCTGCGCCAATGTCCACTCTGTTCAGCATCAATGGCGGCTATAACTTCATGCATCGCGTGAGACAACATCGTGGCAGAAGCACTGAAGTGCACGCACATCAGATAGTTTGTTGTCCCAAGAACAAATATTTTTGAGAGCACAGCTATAGCCACATGCGTATATACTACCCCCCCCCCCCCCCCCCCCCCGGAACCGATTCGAACATGCTTATGAGCCCTCGTGAGTCACAAATACTGCTACCCGTGTTCAGTGGATGAAACAAGTCCGGTTCTTCTCACGAAGGAACCGTATCATGACATTTTGTCGAAATACAGCCCAATATGCGGCGCTTCAGCTACTGCGTGAATGTTATAGAACAGCCACAACAAAACTTTAGTGTTTGCTAGAGGGGCAGCGGGATATTGTCACGGTCGTTACGCGACTGATGAGCACGCGAAAACCTAACGATGTGTCCTTATAGAAGCTACTTTTTAGGCTGCTAATAAATAGGCTAGATATTTATTAATTAGTTCATCTAAGCTGATGAACTTTAGATAGATCATGAATAGAGAAGTCATGTCATAGAGGTATTGTTTTTAGAAGTATTAATCACGAAAAAACAAAGATTCCCAGGCGAAAGTATAACTCGACATTGACAGTGACCAAAAAGAATAGAGACGCAAGACTCTATATTTGTGAGGCTTACAAGAGCATAGGAAGAAAAACGACAACGAAACCAGGAGAAACAGAGTCCAATTCCATCACTACGCTAAATTTATACGTAGAAAAAACAAGAAAAAAAAAGCCATGAAGAGGTAGAGCGAGAGAGGAACGAAGAGAAGATGCAAAGAGATTAAGAAAGAGTTAACTTGGCCTCCCCCACCCCCCCAAGGGGGGTTAGGGGGAACAATACAAATAACTGCCAGATAGCGCTCATGTCTCACTTGTGACGTGCACTCTATAGCGCCTTCGGAATACCATTCACCGATTTTATTGCGCAGAACATCAAATAAACGTTTTGTTAACTCTCTCCAGACGCCAGACTATCGTATTTCGACGACATTTGCGGTGTAACATGCAGATACGGGGCCATTTCTTTTTTGAAGTTGTCCTCACTATTGCTAGTGCATGGACGTTGTTATGACGCTTCTCGTCTCAACATCCTCAGTGTTTGCGACCCCACAACATCCAGTAGCGTTATGATATTCTCCTTAAAAAACCTTTTGCAAAACTCTAAGCTTGTTTCACTTGCAGTATGTTGGCTATACACATGCTATTCACTATTGGGAACTGAGAACTCACATATGACCCGAGAGGATGTTCATGAGCGTGGTTTTTCCGGCACCAGAGGGCCCCATAATTGCAGTCAGTGTTCCCGGAGCACACCTTCCATACATGTGATCGATTAGCATTTTTTTGCCTAGGATGGGAAAGAAACAAACATGGGCAACTGTGAAAACTTTGACTTATCGTGGCGGCTAAATGAAATATGAGGAAGTGGCAAAAAAGAATTCGCAGATCCCACGTACCCGGGAATCGACGTTATGCGAAGCATGCGGAGGGAAGGAGACCGTGTTGCAATTGTTTTTATTGAGCTACATGTAATAAAATGACGCTAATATATGTACAAATGTTGCACTCACAGATATACACTCTAAACAAAATGGCATTGCTACTTACTAACTTTGAGGTAGTAAATTGTTGTCACAACATTCACTACAAAAAGTGCTCAAGCTCCTGAGCAACGCGGGACGTATCTCCTTCCCCCATGCCGCTTCTCTCTGCTTAGCTTACAGCCAACACCCCTTCAGCACTTTCGTTGGAACAAGAGAAGAGACAAGCAATGGAAGCGTTGGCGCTTAGCCTTTTTCGCTCATGTGCGGCAGAAATTAGCGCCTTTTTTTTTTCTCTCTTTCTCTGAACCAATAGCAGTACAAGCAGCGTGCGACAAATCATTGTAACTCATATAATACTGAATGAATTTTTCAGAGTTTTGGGGCAGTTAATTCGTGGGGCAGTAAGCTCCTTCCACGATTCCATTCAATTGCTATTTAAAAAAGTGTGGCAGGGCCTCTCTAAACATTTCTAAATTTGTTCTTGTCTTTCACCCCTGCGGAACGTTTAAAGTCAGTACTTGTATAAACGCCAACTCTCTGTACATGGAATGCACGTTGTTAGTGACTTTTATTTCACTGCAAGAATTACCAATTAAGGATCTCACTACTAAATATTTATTTATTTATTTATTTATTTTTTTATTTATACATACTGCAGCCCCCAATTTGGGGCTATGGCAGGAGTGAGCATTTACAGAAAAAAAATAACAAACAAACAGATCAACAGAGCAATAAAACAAAAGAACACTTAACGCAAATCCGCAAGGGCAAGTAAAAAATTTTCCAGCGGAAGGGAGCAAATGTCACCGGACAGTTGATTCCACTTTTCGGCAGTGAAAGGAAAAAAACTAAATTTGAATGTGTTAGTTCGACAATGGTAAGGCTTGATATTAAGGTGGTGATTACTTCTAGTTGTGGTCGGCGAGGCAAATGAGATGTAGGTATTGTGGGACATGCGATAGACCGAGTTAATAAAACAGTAAAGCAGTTTCATAGAATCCTTTAGACGGCGCATGCGTAATGTGGTTAGTTCAAGAGAAGACAGGGCAAGGGAAGGTGAAAAGTAGCGATCATAGCGGTTACAAATAAATCTGATAGCTTTTTTTTGAATGGCCTCAATTCTATCGATTTCACACTGCTTGTGTGGATTCCATACGGGGCATGCGTAGTCAAGTATAGGACGAATCAGTGTTTTATACATTAGTAATTTAGTGCTTTTGGGGGATTGGGACAGTGTTCGTCTTAAATAACCTAACTTTTTTAAAGATTTTGTGCAGATAAAGTTAATATGCTGAGACCAAGATAAATTGCTAGAAAGAACAACACCAAGATATTTGTATTCTGTTACTTTTTTTAAGGTGGATCCGTTAAACGAGTACGTGAAGCAGGAAGGGGACTTACTATTCGTGAAAGACATAAGCACAGGTTTGTTAAAATTTATACTCATTTGCCAGGTTGCACACCATTCACAAAATTTAGTAATGAGTCATTTAGACGATAATGGGCTTCAGGAGAGTGGATGGGTTCATACAAAACACAATCATCCGCGTACAGACGAATTTTACAGGTGACGTTATTAGGCAAATCGTTTATGTACAGTAGAAACAGCAACGGGCCAAGTACAGAACCTTGTGGAACGCCTGAATTAACACTAACAATGTCGGAGTCAGTTGAGTTATAACAAACGTATTGCGAGCGCTCAGAAAGAAAATTAGAAATCCAGGTAACTAGTTGCGGGTTGTTTAATATGGCATTTAATTTGCATAGTAATTTAGAGTAAAGTACAGTGTCGAACGCTGTCGAAAAGTCGATGAATAGTGCGTCAACCTGATTACCAATGTCCATATTACTAGAAATGTCGTGCACGAATTCGGTTATCTGCGTAACAGTACTATAACTTCGTCTGAATCCATGTTGGAAGCTAGACAACAAATTGTTAGATTCGAGAAATGCAATAATATGTTTGTATATAATATGCTCTAATAGCTTGCAGGAATGAGGGGTAAGAGAGATGGGCCTGTAATTGCTGAAAACTTGCTTGTCACCAGATTTATGTAAAGGTACTATTTTGCCGTTTTTCCAAGATCTGGGAACTGTTCCAGATTTTACGGATTTATTGAAAATTACTGTAAGGTATTAAGAGGTCCAAAGGGAGTAGCGAACGAGAAACATGCTGGGGATACCATCGGGTCCATTACACTTTTTAGTGTCCAAATTAAGTACGAGATTTAACACGCCCTCTTCAGTGATCACTACATCACTGATTGGAACGTTGGATTCAAGGTGGAAAAAGAAGGAACAACCAGATTGTCGACTGTAAAGACAGACTGAAAGAACGAGTTAAAATTGTTCGAAATTTCCGCCGGATCATAAATAATTCTATCGTTTATTTTGAAAGAATTAGAAAGAATTACATTTGAAAGAATTTATTTTGAAAGAATTAAAGGTCATTTTGGTGGACTTGAAATTTCGCGGACACTCAAAGTAACAAATTTGGCAAGAAAAGGAGGATTTATCAACAGGCATTTTTTGCCTACTTTTGAAACTTACTTTTTCCGACTGGCACTTCGTAGTTTATGTTCTTCCATTCAAGAGAAACAGCATTGCAGCTGTGTGGGCGCAGAGCTTCGTTTTCCGCACAGTACGAGTCAAGGCTGACGAAACCATTGGTGCCGATTCGATCAAAGGTTATCGTCATTTTCATATCTGCTCGTGAGAGAAGATCTAAGACAAAACGGGAATGAAAATTTCAGCATAACAAGTGATAAGAAGTTTATTACCAACATTTACCAAACTATTCAGCTTTCAGATTTAGTCCAATAGGACTATTTGAACTTTTCTGCGCGTCATGGTTGCTGTTCTGCAGTGGTCGAAGTAATGAGCTTAGCAACAATCTTTCATAATAAATATATCTGGGATTTTACATCCCAAAACCACGATACTGTTACGAGAGATGGCCTAGTGGAGGGCTCCGAAAATTTTGACCATCCGGTGTTCTTTAACGTGCATTGACAATCGCACAGTACATGGCCTGAACCGTTTCGCCTCCAGTGAATTCCGACAGCCGTGACCGGATTCGAACCCGTGACCTTAGCTTAGCAGTTGAGCACCGTAGCCGCTTATACACCATGGTAAGCCAGACACAATCTTGTCATTGTGCCGTGTTCAATAAACATTAATATGTCGAAACTCAGCTTTAAAGCAACCAAATAGTTGAAGTATCTGCAGTGGATTCATGGCAAATAATAATTGATCTTAGGTATTCACAGTTGTCTTGTACGGTGCTTGGTTGCTGCCTGAAAGGTCATGGGTTCAATTTCAGTTGCGGTGGTCAAGGGCCTGTGTGGTGCGCGATGTCAGTGCACATTAAAAAAACAGCAGATGGTCTAAAGTTTTTTAGCCCTCCACCACGGCATTTCTAATAATCATATCGTAGTTTTGGGACGTAAAACGCCAGATAATAATAATGTTATTAGGTGGACTTATAGTTTAGGTGCTTTGTAATAATAATAATAATAATAATAATAATAATAATAATAATAATAATAATAATAATAATAATAATAATAATAATAATAATAATAATAATAATAATAATAATAATAATAATAATAATAATAATAATAATAATAATAATAATAATAATAATAATAATAATAATAATAATAATAATAATAATAATAACAATAATAATAATAATAATATTAGGTGCCTTATAGTTACAGTATACACTGTTAGGTATTTTTGATGGGTTACAAAACACACCTTACGGTTTTGGTAACTTCAGAGAACACGCCGGCAATCACGAATTGCTCAAACAAAAGGAGGCTGTGATATCCCATATACTTGTTTGCTTCACTCATTCGCATCAATATTTTCAGCCCCACTTTAAATGGTAGTACATGCCCGGACGATCATGCTGTATTCAATAACCCGGGTGAAGACACTCGCGCACGCAGTGACTCGCAAACACTGACGACATGTTCGTTGTTATTGTCCTTAGGTCGTTGACCACGAATGCGTCGGTTTTCATTGAATGTGTCAAGCCTCGCGGCCAACGCCGCTTGACGCTGGACGAGTCATCGTATCGTTGCTGGCGCTAGCATCGCATTGGCTCAGAGCTGTATTCCGACATCGCGTTTATAGGAATTTAATGTGACGTGAGCAATACCTCTGCGGACGAGCTAAATTGACGCAGTGCATGCGCTCTATGCATCAATATACGAATAAGGTCGACTGCACGTGCTTTGGTGTCACTCGTTAAACGTGCAGGGTTGTCTCACACCTGGCAGTCAAAACAGAAGCGAGATGGTAAGAAAACGAGATTCATGTGATTGACTCGAACTGCTCCTGAATTCTCGACATGAATACTCTGAGTAAATTGCGCGTGAGGTACCAAAGTTATGCAGTTTGTTGGCTCCTCGTGCCTTTTACCCCTGCGAGTGGCAGCGTTGGCGACACAGATCCTAGAATAGATGCTCCTAAATATAACGTACTTACGCACGGTGAGAAAAGCATGCGCCGAGCCTATCAGAAAAAAAACAATAATAATATGTGGGGTTTTACGTGCCCAAAACCACGTTGTGATTATGAGAGACACCGCAGGAGAAGGCTCCAGAAATATTGACTATCTAGTGTTCGTTAAGGCGCACTGACATCGCACAATCACTACCTGGGCCTCTACCATTTAGTCTCTATCGAAATGCGACCGCCGCTGCTGAGATCGAACCCGTGGCTCTCAGGTCAGCAGCCGAGCATCCTATCCACCGAGGCAGACACTATCAGAAAGGCAAAGACCGTCACTACAGCCACACTTGCCAGTTGTTTAGTGTTGGTGCCAAAATGCCTTTCTGCGACATATTTAAGCAAAGCAAACAAAAAAGCACAACGAGAGATACATAGCATTGAAAAGGCACACAATATCTATCGTGCATATGAGCCTATGACCAAATATGTGAAATAAACTCGTCTGTATACAGCATTGTCGTTGCTGACTGTGGTGGCCTGATATATAACATCTTTTTATGTAATGCATTAAAAAAAGGACAGCGCAATATGGCTCTTTTTTTTTTCAGGTAAAGCCGACCCATTGTACGATGGTTGGCCAGCTGCAAGCGAGTCGGGGCAATAACGATTTCGAAGGGAATGAATGGTGTAGTATGTCGGTGCAATGTCCACGTGACAGGAGCTGGCTCGCTGCCATGTAATCCTCGCTGACAGCACGTGAGGACCAAAGTCTACGTTCACGTCGGTTTCTTATGTTGCTTACCGTGACATCGACCTTATGCCGAAATCTCGAGGTCAATTTTGGAGTAGCAGGAGTGGCTAAGCTGCATGACTGTGCTTGTTTGTCGACAGGACGCAGGTATTTAGCTCCATGTGACACATTTACAAATTGAACGCATTCCCGACACAATGTGGCTGAGAAATCGGAGATTATTTCAACTATAGCCAACTGCTTTTGAAGAGTGCACGTAGGAACGTTCACATTAGCAATTGAATTTTTAGTTAATGTTAGTCGGGACTAGGGAGTGCTCGCGCTGCTCCCGTAAGTGCCTCTTTTGAACGTTCATACTTCAGCTTCCCAGAATCGCATGAACGTTGTGCTGGGAGTATCGTTCATATCGATAGCCACATAGATTCAACTCCAGTAAATAACGCGACAAAGGTGAACGAAATAACGAATTGCAACAAATATCCATCATTGCCCAAAATTTTCGTACATCATAAGAAAAATCAAAATCACGAAACATTTAATTTTCTTTTCATTGAAAGCAGGCTGAAACTTTTCTGTCTCCCTCACAAACAAACACAATATGAACTGTGGCGAAGAATTTTATTCTTTTCAATAGAAAGAAATATAGTAAGTTTTGAAGTGTGCGAAAGTTTCTATGGGCACACTACACCAATGCGAGCTTCATGTGACAGAGAAGTAAATAAAACAAAACCTGATTATTAAACTTACCTCCGAATATCCGCTGTTCAAACCGATGTCTTGGAAACCAATCCGAACAGCCTGGAATTTTTCAGCCGGTTCTCCACGCCAAGAGAGGGCTTCCAGTTTTCAGAGGTTGGGCATGGGCGTTCGTGCGGCTCGCCTCGACATCCCTCGCGAAGCTACGGGGAGCTCCGACTCGGCGTTGGCATCATCGCCTGTGGCTTTCTTCCGTTTCTCCGCAAGGGCGATTGTTTGCTTTCCGACGAGCTCAACTGACTGCGAAGGCCGGCGCACAGCGGAAGAAGGCGAGAGGGTAACAGGAAGAGAGGAAGGAGACGTTGAAAGCAACAGAAATGATAGAAGCGACTTCGCACAGCTGCTGGCCTGAAGGCGAACAACGCAAGAAACAACGGTGGCATGCAAGCGCACGCCGGATGACGTAGGCAGCCTCCTAGGTCTCGGCGTCGCTATAGGGGTTCCCTTGCCGGCAGCTGTAACAACACATTTAGAGCCCGCGCCTGTCCGCAGCTGTACCGTCGGCACGGGCGCGGGAAGTCCGAATGCACTTGGACTATAGGCATGCGCCATATGCTGCTCAAAGGCGTCGTTTGTCATTCGGAAAGATCTGGTGGGTGACAATCGTAATAGATGGAGGTTCTAACCCTCGCAGAGAAGGGAAAAAAAAAGTAAAAGCGACGACGTCATTCAGTGTCCACATCGCTTGTCCTAAGTACGGCGTCATAATTCTCACTCTACGTGTGAATTGTCGGTTCGCAGGAATAGTTACTCGTTGTACTTAGCTTTGTAATGTCAAGCGTGTCAAGGAATATACCAGATGCTTCGTGATATTCATTTTTTTTTCCTTTTCCGGCATGGAAAACGCATAGCCTCTATTACTATAGGCTGTCGAAAGTCAGCGATACGTAAAATTGCAGTTAGTTAAATGTTTCTATCACTGACGATTTTCTACGCTCTTCTCCCTTCCCTTCTTTTATTGCGGCAAGTTCTGCTTAAAAATATGCACGTTGTAAACACGTGAGCCAATCGTCCGTACTGGCTATGTGTCCAAATCACATATCAGGACTGAGATCAGTTTCATACTCTGTTTGCCAAGACCCAGGATGTGCTATGGCACGGGACCATTGGAAGACGCATTTCAAAATGTGACTCATGAAGAGAAGCGCGCGGCACAGTGTGTGAAATACGACCACAGATCGCTGATCGCAACAGAGCTAGTTTATCGTTTATCGCAAAATATTCGTTCACTTCCTCACTTCTTGATGTCCTGCGAACAGCCTGAAGCACTCGTCCATCTGCCGGCATTTAAATCTTTGAGATCAAACGTGAAACAGGCAATTTCCACGCGCCAGTTGAACCATGCAGGAATCCCTGTACAAACGTTTCAACTTCCCTACAGTTGCTTGCAACGTAAAAATAAACAGAAGCTCCACCCATAAAGCTGCACTGCACTTTTTTTTTGGTGCCTTCGCGCTGAAAAAGAAAGTAGTTACAAAACATCTGTGGCGACATGGTTATGCACAGGTGCTATGCATAGTGTATTCGAGTGATGAAAGGAATACGAACCGTATTGCAACTTGCAGCTGCTGAAAGGAGGTTATGCGATAAGCACTCCGAGTGCCTGCTGCTCCGGTGTACTTCAAAAGTGGCACAATCACAAGCCTCTACTCCATCCAATGAAGGCTGACGAAAGTAACGCAGAGGTATTTACAAGTAACAGTGCGAAGGCCTTCTTCTGGGGGGGGGGGGGGGGGGGATAAGCAAACGCGATAAGAAAACCGGAATGGCCGCTGCTGGTGCAGCGGTGGCTCACGTTTAGTCTGAGCAAACGACTTGATGTCGGAGTTTTCATTCGTTATTCTTAACCTATTAATCATAGAAAAGTACGGCCACAAACATACGCGAATTTTACGCACAGGCAGTGGTATACTTTAGCCTTTTACGCCTACGCTACCACTCATTACAGGAAAGCAAAGCATTTCCTGCACCGAGAAAGGAATATTTGCTTGCAATGTGCTCTGTAGACTGTTACCTATAACACCGCAAGTGGGAATGTATTAACGGCTTGTTTCTGTGTCAGACTCAACATAATTAAACCAGCATACAATACAACCAACAAGCCACAAGCAAATATCTAATATCTGCGATATCTAACGTGAAAGCGCATGAAAGCGTTATAATGTTGCAGAAAGCATTGTAAAGTAGCGAGTAAAACGTTTTCTAACGCTAGAAGTGCGAAGGGTAGGTTAGGTTGAGTTATGATAGTTTAAGCTAGGTAGCGTCGTGAAACCACAGAAATAGACGTCATCTAAAGAGATAGTGTTGTTTTGTTGCGAGTACGAAACTGCGATATGTGAAATATTGTGAAAGCACACAAAACGGTGTGAACAAGCCAGATACTGCGTCTTGTACCGTAACAAGTGTGAAACTGCTATATGATAATATTCTCGTGAGAGCGCATGCAAGCATCGTGAAACCTTAAAGAACGATCTCATTTAGCGAGATACAGCGTTCTGTACAGTACTAAGTTGGTGAAAAACTGTGAGGTCATGCAAACATCGTAAATGTGCACGAAAGAGTGGGATCTAGTGTTTTGTAGATACAAGTGTGAAGGTTAGCTAAGGTTAAGTTATGAAGCGTCATAAAATCGCATGAAAAAATGTCAGCTATTGAGATGCAGTGTTTTTCCCATTACAAGTCGGAAACTGCGATATCTAATGTGAAAGCGCATGAAAGCGTCGTAATGTTGCAGAAAGCATTGTAAAGTAGCGAGTAAAACGTTTTCTAACGCTAGAAGTGCGAAGGTTAGGTTAGGTTGAGTTATGTTAGTTTAAGCTAGGTAGCGTCGTGAAACCACCGAAAACGACGTCATCTGACGAGATAGTGTTATTGTTGCAAGTACAAAACTGCAATATCATGTGAAATATTGTGAAAGCACACAAAATGGCGTGAACTAGGCAGATACTTCGTCTTGTACCGTTACAAGTGCGAAACTGGTATATTGTGATATCCTCGTGAAAGCTCATACAAGCACCGTAAAACCTTAAAGAACGATGTCATTTAGCGAGATACAGCGTTCTGAAATGTGATTTTAAACTTCAGCGATGATGGTATAAATAGAAAGGATTTAAAGTAGATAATAAATCTACTTGACGCACGTTGGTACGAACCTTCTTATAAGGCATCCGATGCTCTAAGCTGCAGAAGCAGTCGCTTTCCCATCCATTGTACCGGGTGCTCTTGTTTGTGAATTCAGGGGGTGCTAGTCAGGACCACTTGCAGCTATAACGGTGAGTGTGGAACACTATTTTTCGCCTCCTGGCGTAACGCAGTGCGTAATATATTTTACGTACACATGCAGGTTCGGCCCCTACCTGTCACATGAAAGTTTCGCATTCCCTTTAAGTTCCTTTACATTGTTGTCGTGATCACTACAATACAGTTAAAAGTACAAATTTATAGTATGCTATGCTTTCCTTGGATAAATTGTATGTTAGAAAAATTATGTTCTGTAAGCCATATAGTTATGTGTCGGTGCCTGTGTGGAAACGCATTATTTTCTTAATATTTTTTGTTTTATAAGGTCGAGAGCAGGTGTAGGGTGACTTCTTCTGTTAAAATTAAGTTTCTGAAGACTTTTCAAGTAGTGGCCGATGAAACTCTGAAGTTGCTCTTAACACGCCGTGGTAATAAGGGGCATGGTGCATGCACTTAGGCCGGTAAAGCATCAACGGAACAAGCGTTCTGCTGCAACGGTTGGAATTCTTCGTTACGATTACCGCTGTGCCCACGTTTCAAGAAGCTTTTCTGGGGAGAAGCACTATAGTTTGTCGGCGTGTTATGTTGTCGTTGCGCTAATATTAATGGGGTATGATCCACAAGAGTGGGGGAAATTGTACTACTCATCACCAGTCCTTACCAAGTACAAGCGTTACGAGTAATCGGTTCATCGTTACTGCCTAAAAATTGTTTGGCTTAGCAGCTGTATCAGAATACCCGATGACGACTTGCCAAGGCGCTTAATTTTTTTTAGCTAGAAGCAGAGACGAAAACTTACATATCTATCTCTAGGATAGAGCCGTCTATTTGAAATGCCGCTTTTTTAGACATATCAGCAATTTTATCAGACTTTACTGGCCACTGGTCCCCTGAAAAAAGGAAACAACGAGTCGAGGAGGTTAAGAGAACAGAAACACCCATGCCTACATGACGGAGGGAACTAAAAGCGGGCATTTAAACAAAAAGATTCACCTTTGGGTTTGCTGCATTACGAGGCCGTTTTCTGACGCAGTTAGTGGAGCATAAAAATCCTTATGCCGGGTATCGGGCTTGGTACCACTTGTGCCTCAACAATGACATTTCTCTCAAGACAATAAGGGTGAATTACCTCAGTCACACACTTCTTCTACTTCTGTCTCTCATCTTCTCTCTGATTGTTTTCTGTCTCTCAAAACCGGCGCACACTGCTTGTCCCCCCCCCCCTCCCACTCCACAAACACTTGTTTTCGTTAGTCTTCTTCCTGGCGCTCTTATAAACTGTACTATTTCTTTCTCACGTTCTACTGCGCAGCACCTTAGAGCTGATTTCTTTCTTTTGAAAGAAGTTGTATTTTGAATGAATGAAATCTTGAAGGAACACCAAAGGCAAATAACAATTTGTAGCAAAGTGGTAGGACATTGTTTGAGAACATCTAGAATGTCAACATTATGAACACAGGTGTTTGACTAATCGGGGAATCGGGATAAATGTCGGACAGGATATGCGCCACCAGTAGCACGTCTCAGAAATGAGCCAAATGACGTCAAGAGACCCAATCCCAAATAATCATTATAGTACTCAAACTACTCATAACAAAAAATAAAATATTGTGCCTTACAAGACGTAATAAATGCTGCTTGTGCCCACCTCTTTGAATCAAGAAAAAAAATAGCTTGGCATTACCATGGTGATTGGAGCGGGTAGTTCTTAAGTTCCGTTTTTGTTGGGGTGCGCTGCGCCCATGCGGTTGCGTCTCAGTGGTTTCTGCGCTAGCGCAGTCGCCATCTCGTGGCTATTGTCGTGGATAGTCCTTCTCTTCGCCCTAAAGCCAAGTGTGTCGTTGAGGTCTTCTGCACGACTCTTCGAAGGGAACGACGGAATGGGGTTGGTGGACCAGTCGCGCAAACATAGAGGCTCACCGAACAGCGCGAGTCAAAATACAAGCAAGCCGGTGGGGCCCACGTACCCGCACCTACAGCCGCACCGCATGTTGTTTCCTGACACTATACACAGGCACTGCGCCGTGCTCCCGACCGGGTTGCAGAAATTAGGTGCCTTTTCTCATCTTCTAACCACTACCACCACACTATAAGCAGCAG